CCCCCGCCCCCCCCAGCCTCGACCTGCTGGGCTCCGGCAATCCTTCTGCCTCAGCCTTCCAAGTAGCCGGAATTACAGTCATGCTCCACCACGCCCGGCTGATTTTTTGATTTATTGTAGAGATGAGGTCTTGCTGCCCAGGCGGGTTTTGAACCCGCGGGCTCAGGCAATCCACTCACCTCAGCCTCCCAAAGGCACGGGATTACAGGCTGAGCCACCGAGCCCAGCTGGCAAGTGTTTTTCTAATTCTGAGTGAAACCCGTGGTTAATAAAGCCCACATTTCTGAATCTCTCTTGGTGCTACCATCAGACCAAGGCAGAAAAGTAGTAAAAAAAGACTGCTGCCTCAAGATCCCTGGGCTGTCCTGAGAAACTGCCTTCAAACCCAGGCTGGACCACCAGGAGATGGGAAGAGCAACCAGTCACATCTTTGAAGACCCAGAGAAAAGTGAGCAAAGAGAAAAGCGATTTCCCATTATCCAAAGATACTTTACGTATACGTCTACAAGGGCTGTAGAAATCAGCTACTATTACTCTAAGAACTATCAGAGCAGACTCAATGAGTTTACCAGTTAATTATTTTAACAAATGAATAGTCAGTGAATCTGCATGTTGCAATTCTCACAAAAACACATACCAGGCTGTTTTGACAATGTTTCATAACTGCCAAAAAGCTTAGGAACTTGAACTAGAAAGTCCAAATATATACAAACAATAAGATAAGTAATATTTATGTAATGCTAAGTCTTTACCTCTCCATGATCAAATTGGTGTTTTCTGAAATGGAAAAAAATACTGCTAATTAACCATTATTACAGCACTTACTTCATACATTTGCATTTTTATCTTACAAATATGAGTTTTACAACTTTTAAAATATTCTCTCAGGACACATACATGTAAATTAAAATAACTAAAAGTTATGTGCCAAAACTGGTGCTATACTCATTTTAGAAAGTTTATTAAAAATGATGTTGCATTATCCTGAATATTTCACTACATGGGTATTTATTAGACCAACAAAGGCACACTGTGATGTACCAGATTCCTCACTGGAGATATTCCAAAAAGCAAGGAGTGAAAAAGAACTTGGAGATTCTCACTAGGCACCCAGGCAGTGATGACAAATAGGCAGCTACATGTATATACCTACATGTTCAAGGGAAAAGTGTGGATTAGAAATAGACATGTGTGAGTAGACAAAATACATCTTTTCTTTTTTAAATATTGATGTTCCCAAGACCTAGAGCAATGCCTGGCACTTAAAGCTTTTTTAAAAAAATTGAATGAACAAATACATTAATAAACTGTTAATCCAGGTAGCATATAATCTGATTGAAAACTTGACCTCAAAAATACTGATATATTAGCAAACTCAGTAAACATATGGAGCAAGCAAAGGAAGTCATGCCAAGTAAAAACTATCAGTTACCATTTATTGAGCACTTACAATGCTAATATGCTCAGTACATTCCATTAACTCTGATCTTAACAATCACTTTTGATTCCAATTTATAGTCAAGGAAAGGGAGCCACAGTGCTTCTAAGTGGCAGCAAGACTGTATTTTGACCGATTTCTGAACTGCCTCTCTCCTACTTTACCTCCTGGGTCTTTGAATAAAGGGGATACTGGTATTCAATCTTGATAATTCAAATTTATTTTCCACTCTTCTCCTTTTTATATTGGTTTTGGTAGTTATGCAAAATAAAATGTCTACATGCCACTCCCCTTCCAAAAAAGAGTTCTGATCCTACCTGAATAGAAAACTTAATGAAGTTCAATGGTTTTCTATAATTATTTCTATAGATGACTTATTCGTGAAGTGACAATTTTGTTTCTGTGAAAAGTTCTACCTTTCACATCCAGAACTTCATACTATAATTGTAACTTTGTAGCTTCTTCTTAAGTCCTTCAGAAATAATTTCAATGAAGAAAAATTTTGGCATTGTAAACCAGAAACGTCTTTTTTTTCCCTGGCTCTAAACTCATATGCTTCAGGCATAAACAAGGGCACAGCTACAGTAAATTTTTTCTAAAAAGAACAAAGATTTTCTTAGGAGTATGTATGACAATTTATCATTGCATTGGTAACCGAGATCTGGAAATGAAGGAATAATATAAGGTCATGCATATTCAGGTTATAAAATAAGACATAGATAAAAAATTCAACAATCCCTCCCCTCCTCCAAGAAATTCCTATAAAATAATAAAAGTAGAATTAAAACTTCCTTTACACCCTCCTATAATCCCACACTCTTTTTTGTAAGTTTTAAAACAAAGTTTATTAGAGAAAGAAGAAAGAAAAGAAACCCCACACTCTTAATAGTTATGGGTTTTATCCTTCCAGATCACTTCTATGCACAAATAAACATATACCAATCTCCAAATTTTAAACAAAAGTATAATCATACTATACATTTTGTTTGGTATGTTTTTTATTCAGCAATGTATGATGGAACTAATTCCATAAAGATGATGCAACATTCTACTCTATGATTAGATCATAATTAAATCAATCTCTTACCAATAGACATTTTGGATGTTTTCATTTTTCTTGTGTGAACACAAGACTATAATAAGCACCCTCTCTGCATTTCTGTGAGCATTTTATTTTTATTTTTTTATTTTAAAGATGTGGGGCACTATTCAGGTATACAAATGTTCATTATGCAGGTATCTGTGAGCATTTTTTTTTTTTTTTGAGTTGGAATCTCACTGTCACCCAGACTGGAATGTAGTGGCTGCTCCCGGCCACCGCAACCTCGACCTGCTGGGCTCCGGCTATCCTTCCGCCTCAGCCTTCTGAGTAGCCAGAATTACAGGCACGCACTACCATGCCCAGCTGATTTTTTGACTTATTGTAGAGATGAGGTCTCGCCAAGTTGCCCAGGCGGTTCTCGAACCTGCGGGCTCAGGCAATCCACTCACCTCAGCCTCCCAAAGCGCGGGATTACAGGCTGAGCTACCAAGCCCAGCTGTGAGCATTTTCTAAAGAGTACATTTGCATTGGTGGAACTGCTAAGCTAAAGGACAGTCCAGTGTATGTTTTGCTATATAGTACTGAACTGTCTTTCCACTTATTTCCTCCCACCTTTGCAAGCATTGGAGATTATTAATTTTTACAAATAAGTAAAAAGGTTTTCACTTTAATCTGAATGTCTTTATCATAGAATCGCCTGTGATCATTAGTCATATGTAAATTGTCACTCATTCAACTACTATTACTCTTTACTATTTTATAGGCAATGTATGTAAACAGTTCAATAGAAATGATCCATCCCTTTAGGACATACAGGTGACACATCGGTATTTAAGTATAAATGGTGATAAACGGTAAGAGAGAAAGATAAAGGGTGTGAAGATAAAAAATAGCAAAAAGGAGACAAGGAATCTGCTTAGAAATGATGGTCAGAAAAGGCTTCTTGAAGAAGGTGACATCTAAGCAAGGATTAAAAGAGCTGATCATACAAAAAACCAGTGGGGAAAAGGGGCAGGAGTCACGATTACATGCATAAGGAACTACTCCTGCAATGCTGCAGACACAGAAAACAACTTGCCATCATTACAGAACAGAAAGAAGGTCATGGGACATGGGTGTAGTAGGAAAAGAAAAAGGCAGACTTACTTTTCTCTTGATTGCTTGTTTGTGTCTGTCACTCATTTTTCTAGTGGGTTTTTAGTGTTTTTTTCTTATTAATTTGTGGACATTCTTTATATATGACAGTCATTAGTTCTGTGCCATATATTGTAGCTACTTCCCACAATCTGTCCTTTTTCTTTGAACAATGCTTACAGTATCTTTTGCCAAAACCAAAATTTTTCTCTGGTCAATTTTGTTAAACTGTCCTTCCAGCATACTGTTTTTATGTCATGCTTATGTCAAGTCCTCTCTAGTTCTAAGATTATAAACATATTATTTGGTTAAGGGGGGGGTTCTTTTCTTCTATATTTAATTGTTCGTTTCACTGGAATTTATTTTGTGTAAAAAGTGAGGTATGGATCCAGTTTTAGATTTCCCTGCTCATTTCCCAACAGGCAGTCCATTGGTCCTAAAACCACTCACAGAATAATGAATTTTCCCTGCTGAACTCAAGTACAAAGCTGTGTCCTTCAAGTATAGAGATTATATGTGGTGCTACTGTCAGACTGTACCAGATGAGATCTGAGGGAGGAAGAAGGGATGCACTGTGTTCTGCATAGACAGAAAATAATGAGAAAAGCCAAGAAGCAGAATGGCAACAATAAAAACATCAATTATTAAACGTTGAGTATACAATACATAAGTATAAAATTATGCATAGTAAACATCTATTTCATAAATGAATAAAGGAGGTAACAAAATTCTTAATAGCATATTTACCTTATATGTGTCTGTTGTTTAGCTAAGGCACCCCACATATCACTAATAATCTGTAAATAAATTTTAAAACACTTTAGAAAAGCTGTTTTGGGAAAACCAAAATTTTACCTAAAGTATCTTCTAAACCTTAAAAGTTTTAATTAAAAACATGAGAAGTATAGAGAAAAGAGGTAACTCGGAAAATAATCATTATAACATAATTTTTTATTTGTATAGTATTTGATCAAATCTAATATTCAACAACCCTATAGGTAGTTTATATTACTCTCATTTTGTAAATGAGCAACAGGCTCAGATGGCTTGAATGATCTCCCTGAAGGAAGACAACTATTAAGAAGCACTGCTGGGACTTGAAACCAAATTTTCTGGCTTCAAATTCATATTCAGTGCTGCTTCCACCCATGTCAAGGTTGTTGACCATACCCGTCCTTAATTATACTCAAGCAAAACTGGAGAACTGGCTCAGAGACTGATAATCACAGCTAGAAGCATTCAAAATACACTTCTTATATTTTCATATTTAGCAGTAACTGGAGTGTCATCTAATCTAAAATCCCACCCCCAGCATGGATATTTTCTCCAGGTTTTAATCTAGCCCTTGGAAGAACCACCCAGCTGTTGCCTGAATCTAGAACACTTTTCTAATCAGTCCAGATCAATTGTGGTCAAAGTCCTATCTCCTGGAACTGGTTATAATTCTAAGGAGCCAGAATGAATTCAACCTTATTTTCAAGTGTCATGTTTTAAAAATATTTGAAAATAATTATTTTCTTTCCATTTGAGTCTTTTCTTCTTTAAGCCAAACAGCCCAGCTAATAGTTTTCATCATCTCTCACCATCCAGGCTGCTGTCTGTTGAATATATCCCAGACAACCAATATCTAGTATTTTTGAATACCTCCTAGGTGCAAAGCCACATCAAGTGTGAAGCAAGCACAGAACCTGGCACACCGCAGGAACTGACTATTAACTGATCAGGGTTGAAAAGTGCTGCGAGCGTAACAAAGCTGAATAAGGGGGAAGGCACAGAGTCTGAGTTTCGCTATTCCCTTATACCATGATATGAGGCTGCTAACAACCTCTTTGATCTTCCAGTTCTACATGTGTCAAAAAGGGGATGATAATAACACCTGTCTACACCACAGAGCTGTCAAATAACCAGTTGAAATACTCATGTGAAAATGTTTTGTACAAAGCACAGTACAAATATGTAATGTGAATGATTATTATAGTACAAAGTATTCTACAAATATATGACATTGTATTAACACAGAAATCACGTTTAAGGTCTGTCCCCTTTTTTAAAATCACAGATTAATCTCTTCATTCTCTTAAGACACGTGCAGTTACAGAGTACACAAATTCTTAAAAGAAAAAAGAGAGGGATTATCATACTTCTTCTTCTTCACTAAAGATTGGGTCTTCTATGACCTGATATCTGGGCTTAGAATTTCATTATCAAAACCATGTTGGGGAGCCTAAATATTTTATCTAGTTTATCAACACATTATTAACATTCTATTTTTTCTTTTTGATGAATAATAATCACATCCAGGAGTTACTGAACACTGTACAAATCACTCAGGCATATACTAAATATTTTAGGGAAATATTACATAAAAGTCTAAAGCAAGCCAGTAATAATATACATAGACAAGTTGTATTTGGGTCAGTATGGTCTCTAAACATGTCTTCTAAAATACATGACTATCAAAATTTGAGCCATCCTTTTCCTATGTCTATTTTATGCTGGCAGATAGAATACTGTAAAGACTTATAAATGTCCACCAAAAGCTATCATTAAGAAAGTACAGAATATGGCACAGTAAACCCATACAAAACACTGTAACAGATTAATATGGGGCCAAGTACATGCAAGTGCTATATAAAACAAGAAAACATTTCATTATAAGAAAGTGTTCAAAAGTGATTACACATACCTTTCTAACAATTGCAATAAACACTACAAGAACAACTGGAAGCAATAATGTTTTTGTATATCTCAGAGGAGTCTAAAATTCAAAGAGATGTTGTGTTAGAGGGAAGTATTTTTTAACCAAACAAAATTTCATTTCAAATAATACAACAGGTGAATTTCTAAAAAGTATAAGTAGACAATATTAACATTCACCAAGAGTTCAATCTACCCACTGATTTCCATTATAAAAATGAAGGTGCATTTCCAAAAAAACAAACTTCCTCACAATGTTGAAACATTAAAAATACAGTACCCAAACACTTGTAAGTGTGTGATGTGACTGTTCACTTTTTGCATGCTGCTTGTCTAACTAGAGAGCCAAACTTAATATTTCACCTAAAGTAAGAAGAATGAAATGAAATAAGCTTTTCCTGTTTATGTTGTGGGGATAAAAATCTTACTTATGATATAATATATACACATATACACACACACTTTCTCTGTCTCTCATACACAAATACATACAAAATAATGATCAATGTTTACGAGGGGAACAAAAGACATTTTCTTTAGTAAAAGATTAAGAGCTATAGAAATATTTTAATAACAAAGTCTTGCACATTGCACTCCTGTGCACCTACCTCTCAACTATCTCTCCACCCAAAATACCACTGTTAAAATTTTGATCTTTTGCACTTTAGTATATTAATTGTAGGTAAATAAAATTATACCATTTTGTTTATTCTGTTATATATCTCAAGCATTCTTCCCATCAGTATAATATCATATTATAGAATATCATGTTAAGTTTTCCCCTTATTCCCACTGTATAGATGTACCATAAAAGGAACTCACTCCCTGGACTGGCACCATATTGTCTCTACAGCATAGTCCTTATGAATTCAGATGCTTATGGAGATGGGGAATGGAATGCTGGAAATAGCTTTACTACTTTCTTCAAATTGACTCAAATCATGCTAGGCCTCAATAAACAATTTCTTTCATTACATAACTGGTGGTTAAAACTCTTGGGTTGTAGCAGCATTATAATGTCCTTGATGTCAAAGAACTTCTACTACATTCTAATTCTCTTTTAATCAAGAATGAGTTTTGATCTCCTATGAACATGCATTTCAATGTCTTGTAAGACATACTTTCTTTGTTTCAGCAAGTTTAATACTATCATTTGTACAGTTTTGTCAGTCATTATATGTCAAAACCATCTCTAGAACACAATAAATGAAGACTGATAGGTCACTGGAGTAAACAGTATGTCTGCAGGACACATTCAATAGAATGGTTGGTTGATAAGAGTTCGCTGTGTGGTGCACTATCTCATCCACTGATCTGGAACTCTGGACACCGGGCTAACACAGTAGGATCATAGAGGGAAACTAATATGTCAATAGAGTATTGTTGGCCAGCTTAATATATACACACACACAACGCTGAAGGAAAATGTGGCACAGATAGTAAAAGATAAGAATTCAGTACCACATGGATGGTGTTAAAAAGGCACATGAATACATGTTTGTTGAACCAAACCAGTTCATCAAGTACTGCAAAATAATATTTTATTTAAAATATCAAAGTACTTTCCTATGTATTATCTCATTTTATCTTCACAATATTTGTAGCATACTACTAGAAACTAGCAAACTATAACACAAGGAATTACAGTCACTTGTTCAAGGGTATCAAGCAAAATTGCAGACTTTTGTCTCACAATTCACTAAACTATTTTCTGGTTTCCTTCTAAATATCTGAATATAGTTTAAGAAAGAAGAATGTTGTTGGAATGAAAAACCTGTACTCAATGATATTTCAAAGCAATGAGATCTACTCAAATAACTACAAAATGAGTAGAAATGTAAGAGTTTGAGAGCTTGACTAAATCAGTGCTATCTGTGAAAAGAGGCAACCTGAAATGCCTCTGTGTTTACTCATCCAGAAAACCATTGCTAGTCTGAATATGTATTTTCAAATTATCAAAATGAGAAAAGGTTATATATTTCAGGGAGCTGTACTAAAGTAAATAAGAAAATCTTCATCTAAGCTGCCAGATTTTGCTTTTCCTTCAAACTAAGATAACAGCACACAAAGAGTCTGATATAACAGGAGTATCCTTTATGAAAAATGAATGGGCCAAAACCTTAGGAAAGAAAACTAGAAATCATATCTTACCTCCTTTTCCATAAAGTCAAACTCTGCAGCACAGGTATACAATAAAGTATCAAAATCCTTGTAACTGAAGAATTTTGATGTTAATAAGTTGCCAATATGAGCCTAGTAAGAAACAAAGCAAGTTACCATTGCATTAAGCTGTATACTGCAAATGTATTTAATCATAATAGTATCTAAACATAGTTTTCATTACGTTATAGAGCCTACTGTTACCATACCAAGCTTGCTTTTGTTAAAGGAGAAAGTACTATACCCTCCAATTTCACTTTTGCTGACAAATGATAGCTCCAATAACTCTACCTTCTATGCTCATCAACATTCCAAAGGCTTCTACTCTTGGGTTTTCCCTGCTCATTGTACTAATTCTGGTGAAAAAGGCTACACAGCCTTCCTTTGCTGGAGCCTACCTGGAGCTGTGGGTTTGGGAACACACACAGACTTCTATCGATCATAAAGGGGCAAAGGAATATGGAGTAGAGGAAATATTAATTCTGAAAAGAAGACTGAAAAGACCTTGAGGTCGAGAAGATGGTGGTGGAGTCAGTCAGACTATGCGAGTCCTGGTGTGAGTGAGGGAGTGTATGGAATATTTTGTATATCTGTTGGTTAGTGAGTGGGTGTGTAAGTGGCTGACTGAGTGAGGGCTCGGGAGCAAGCAGCCAGGGATCTCCTGGTGCAGCGGCTTGTGATGCAGTTGCTTGGCTTGAACCCTAGTGATTCCTGGGACGCAGAAGCTTGAGTGCCATTTTTTTTTAAAATCAACAAAACCATTCTTGGGAAAAAGAAGCTGGAAAAGACTGACTAAGTGGGGGCTCATGAGCAAGTGGCCAGGGCCCTCTTGGTGAAGCAGCTGGTGCTACAGCTGCTCTGCTTGGTCCCTAGCAGCACTTTCGAGTTGCAGAAGCCCAGCACCATTTTTTTTTTAACTGACAAAAGTTTTATCACAAAGAAGCGGTGGGGAGAGACTGCTGGCTTCAGGCTTTACCTCACCACTGCAGTCCCTGGTGGGACACTGGCAGCAAAAGCTGCGGAGGGAGCCCAGAGGCAGAGTCCCGCTGGAGAAGATGAAAAAGGTACTCTGCCACCATCTTGAAAACGGTGCAGGAAAATGCTCTGACTTGCTCACCATAGAGCAACAGACCCCATCTCTGTGACCGGTGGATCAACTACTCAGGCGTTGAACATGACCCAGAAGGAATATCCTGAAAGCACAAACTTCAGAGGGGAAGGACAAGTGCTGACTCCCAGGTGCCCCACCCCTACCCTGATTCAGCCACGGCCAGAAAAGTATGAGGAAGACCTCCAAAAAGATCAGTGATTAATCAGGGGCTGACCCAACCCCTCTCCTTTCCAGCAATCCTCTGAACGTCAGACCCACACAGCTGGGACATGACTGAGAGGGACGAACCCAGGCATAGCCTGCACGACAGCCACAACAGGAGAACTCCATTATTGGATAGGCCTGTCTGGGGCACCCCCTGTGAGTACATACCCGAGGAAGAGACAATTCTGCACCTCCCACTGGAGGGGATCTCCCTGACCATACAAGAGTGAGAGGGGAGGACTGCAGCCACACCCACCCCCACTGCCCCTCCTCCTTCCTGGGTCAGACACTGGGAAGAGGGTCAAAGAGGTGGAAACACTGCAGGAGCTAGCAGAGAAGCAGACAAAAGGGACTATTACAGAACCTGGGATAAGAGGGCAGGTTTTTTTTCTTTTTTTAAGTAAAAAAAATTTTTTGCCTGTTTGTTAGTTTTCCTGTTTTTAAAATATTTCTCCTTTGTGCATGAATTTGTAGATGAGAGTTTGACCTGCATCCCCTGCCCCATTTTTTTTCTTTTTCTTTCTTATTTATTTATTTATTTTTTCTGTTTGTGTGTGTCTGTGAATGATTAGGTGTTCATCTTTGAGGGTTTTTTTGGTCTCACTTTTTCTTCTCCATTCATTTTGTGCTAAGCGTGTGTGTGTGTGTGTGTATGTGTGTGTGTGTTGAGTTTTCCCAGATTTCTGTTGTTTTTTGTTTCGTTTCATTTTGCTGTTATTCCAGTTAGATTTGGTGAGTGTGTGTGTGTGTCTGTGTTCAATTGTTTTTTGCTTTGGTTTCTGTTTTCATTGTTCTGTGTTTCTTTATTTAAAAAATTTTTATCCATCTTATTTCATTCTATTCTTCTCTGTTCTCCTCATTGCTACTACTGTATCTTGGACTTAGTGGGTACACACATGTACCCATTGCATCATCATATAGAGTGGTGGAGGGGAGTGGTTCTCATGGAACACATACCACAATCAATGAACACTGTGATTTGCAAGTGGTCTCTGAATCCTAGTTCCCCATTCTCTACCTTATTCGACTTTCAAAACTACAAGAGGTTGCAAAGCTTCCAACCCACAGTCCTATTTCAAAAGAGAACAAATCTAAAGCCTGGATCAAGGAAGAATAGAGGGCTGAACAAACATCAGAAATGAAAGCCTCTCCCACTACCACTGAATAACAGGACTAAAGAGAACAGCAAGAGATTTGTCACAAATGAAGAAAAATCAATGGAGGGCCAGAAGTAATTTCAAGTGTAACAAAAGAAAACACCTGAAAAATCAGACCCTGGAGCCCAAATAATGGAAGTCACCAAGAACTTCCCAGAAAACCACAGGAATTAGGGAATGGATGGAAAGAGTGAATAAGACTCAAGAAAGACAAGATGCAACACTGAAAGAACTTGTAACAGAGATTTTGGCCATAAAAATTTCATACAGGAAATAAATAACAAGATGACAAGTATGGAAAGCAGAATTAATCTAGCAGAAGAAAGAATATCAGAATTGAAGACCAGAACATGAAGTTAACCCAGTCTGTAAAAAACATAGAAAGAAAACTCAGAAAGAAAGACCAAAGTCTACCAGAGATGTGCAATTATATAAAGAGGCCGAACCTATACCTGATTGGTGTCCCAGAACAAGAAAGGGAAATGGAGAACAGCTTGGAGCAAATATTCCAGGAGGTAATCCAAGAAAACTTTCCCCATCTCACTAGAGATGTGACTAGCCAAACACAAGAGATACAGAGAACCCCCCACAAGACATCAAATGAGAAGACCAACCCCTATACATATAGTAATTCACCTTCACAAAATAGGCACAAAAGAAAAAATCCTAAAGGCAGCAAGAGAGAAAGATCAGACTACCTACTGGGGAAAACCAATTAGAATAACAGTAGACCTATCAGCAGAAATGCTACAAGCAAGAAGGGACAGGAGTCCAATACTCAAAATTCTCAAAGATAAACAATTTCAATCGAGAATTTCCTACCCACCAAACTCAGGTTCATCAGTGGTGGAGAATTAAAATCCTTCCTAGACATCCAATCCCTAAGAGATTATTCAGCTTCTGGACCAGCTCTACAGGAGACACTTAAAAAGGTATTAATCACAGAAGAAAGAAAAAAAAGAATGACCACACACTTCCCAAGAGAAGAGCAGAGAACAGAAACAACAGAAAATATATTGCAACATAAACTTAAAAACACACACACACATCAACCCCAAAGCTAAAAGAAAACAAGCAAAGAAAAAACTTTATAAGAACCTCATGACAGGGATAAACAATCACATTTCAATAATCAGCCTGAATGTGGATGAAACTAAATATACCACTGAAAAGACAAGAAATGGCAAACTGGATAAAAAACCATGACCCTAATATTTGCTGCAACCAGGAAGCTCATCTCACCACAAGGAATGCATACAGACTCAAAGTTAACGAGTGGAAAATGAGTTTCCAGGCAAATAAATCACAAAAGAAGGCAGGAGGTGCAATCTTAATATCAGGAAAAAAAAACCTTTAAGCTATCAAAAATTTAAAAAGATATGAAGGAAACTACATAATGATAAAAGGTTCAGTCCATCAACAAGAAATATCCATCCTAAACATATATGCATTCAACATAGGAACACCAGCTTTTATAAAGCAACTACTAAGTGAACTAAAAAAAGATGTTGACTCTAACACTATTATAATGGGGGACTTGAATACCCCACTAACAGCCCTAGATAGACCATTGAGGAAAAAAATCAACAAGGAGATCCAGAACCTAAACTTGACTCTTGACCAAATGGACTTAATAGGCACCTACAGAATATTCCACCCAACAGCTACACAGTATACATTCTACTCATCACCACATGGAACGTACTCCAAGATAAATCACATCCTCAGTCATAAATCAAGCATAAAAAAATTCCATAAGGTTGAAATATTGACATTCAACTTCTCAGATCACAGAAGAATAAAAATAAATATCAACACCAACAAAATTTCCCCAAATCCCACAAAGACATGGACACTAAACAGTATGATGCCGAAAAACTACTGGGTCAACACTGCAATCAAAGTAGAAAGTAAAAGATTCCTGGAAACTAATGAAAATGAAGAAACATCTTATCAAAACTTCTAGGATGCCATGAAATCAGTTCAGAGAGGGGAATTTATATCTCTATGAACATATATCAAAAAAATGGAAGGATCACAAATTGACAGCTTAACAAATCACCTAAGGGAGCTGGAAAGGGAAGACCACGAAAACCCTCACTTTAGCAGAAGAATCCAGATCACCAAAATAAGAGCTCAAATACAGGAAAGAGAAGACAAAAATATAGAAAACATCAACCAAAAAAAAAAAAAAAAAGTTGGTTCTCTGAAAGAATTAACAAGATTGATGGACCTCTAGCCAGAATGACCAAGAAAAAGATAAAAAAAAAAAAAAAAGCCCAATTAAACACACTCAGGAATACAAAGGATCAAATCACAACTGACCCTGAAGAAATATAAAAGATTATCAGAGATTACTATGCACACCTGTATGAAAACAAACTTGATAACCTAAGTGAAATGGAGTACTTTCTGATATCACACAACTTCCCAAGGTTGAAACAAGAAGACATTGAGACACTAAATAGACCAATAATAACCCAGGAAATTGACTCTGTCATGAAAACTGCCTACAAAAAAATAAAAAACCCTGGACCAGATAACTTTCCAGCAGAATTCTACAAAATGTACAAGGAGGAGCTGATACCAATCCTATTGAAAGTATTCCAGGCAATTGGAAA